CTTAGTGCCCCAAGGGCAGAAGGACTCTCACGGAAATCCCCCAGAAATTTCTCCGGGTAAAGGCGTAGGTAGGACTTTAGAGTCGGTTGGAGGACGAGCTGACGGTGGGAGGGGTGGTAGAACTGGAGCAACTGCAGACGCAGGATAGGAGTGAGAAATTCATTGCACGGGGAAAGTACACAGAGGGCTCTTTTCACAAACGCGTTGAGAATCGTCAAGATGGTGGGATGTGGAGAAAAAAGGGGGCAGGGGCGGAGGGAGAAGGGAAAAAAAGGATTTATCTTATATCCAATGTCTTTATCAATCTTGGAAGGATTTTCTGGATGACAAAAAATAACGTGGGCCGTGAGAAAGCCTCAAGAACATCATTCCGGATGGGGCAGGGGGGGGGGAGGAGGAAGAGGGGGAGAAGGGGAAGTTTTTTCTTTTTAGTTGGGACAATATGTACCATGGTATTATCGCTGTCCGCTTGAATTCTTGGAATAACAAGGGACATTCTTGAGATTCGTGCGCTGATGATAGGGGCGAGGAACTCAATTCGCGAATGCTGTTTCTGACCCTCTTTAGAGGGTTATTTATTTTGTCTTTTTTCAGGGGTGGAACGCGGCTTTTAATTATTTTTCGGGAGATGTTGGGACGGGAGGGGCGGCTGTAGTTTTGGGTTTTCTGGGGTTAGTTGGGGAATGTCGGAGGTTTTGGATGTAGTTTAGGAGGTTTTACTCCATTTTTAGAGGTATTTCATATTGGTAAAGCAGATGTTTCCTTTGAAAAAGAGATAGACTCAATCCTTCCACTTCAATTTTGGTTTGTTTCTCACTGCAGGACCACTTGACATACTCTTCTTAATTCTCAACTACTTGAAGAATACTTCCAGAGCTTCAGACTTGCTTCAATCCAAAATCATCGGATCGAACTTCCCCAATGGCGTCATTAGGCTGATGAAGCGAAATAAGTAGCGAAGCATCGCAAAATGACAATTAGATAAATATTGCTTTCATTTTCTCTAGATGGAGAGAAAAATTCAATAAAAGTTACAGTGAATTTTTCCGTAATTTTCGCTGAATATTTCTCTCCGTGTATCATCTGATCTCCTTTGGACATTTACTGAACGAATTTAGCAATCTGAATAAGAGGAACGAAGCACAAGCTTAAGGGCACTCTCGATGCCTCTAAAAATATCGGGCGTAAAAAGCGTCAATCGTTTTAAAAATTCCCCGTACTCCTGACGTTTTTACTCGAAATAATGTCAGTGGTTGCTTTAATCCGAGTTCTCATATGAAGCCGTTATTTTAGTTTCATCACCCGTCTTCAATTTAAGTTGATTGCTGACTGCAAGCCCTCTTGCCATTCACTTATCAATTGTCTACACCGCGTCGAACCATTCTCATCATTCCAATTCCGTAAAAATTCTCGACTTCATGAAGAATAAACCAGACCTGCAAGCTTCCCGCAATCTAAAATAATCGAATAGAACTTCCCCAATTGGGTCATGAGTCTGCTGAAGCAAAATAATTAGCGAAACGTCCTAAAATGACAATTACATAAATATTGCTGTCATTTTCTCTGTCATCTGATCTCCTTCAGACATTTCTGGAACGAATTTCGCGATCTGATTAAGATAAACTAAGCACAAGCTTAATGGCGCTCTCGATGTCTCTGAAAATATCGGGCTTAAGAAGCGTCGATCGTTTTAAAAATTCCGCGTACCCCTGACATTTTTACTCCAATTAATGCTTCTCATATGAAACCGTTATTTTAGATTCATCCTCCATCTTCAATTTAAATTCATTGCTGACTGCAAGACCTCTTACCATTCACTTACCAATTGACTGTATAGTTAATAAAAATTCGTAAAAATTCTTGACTCCATGAAGAACAAACCAGACCTTCAAGCTTCCCTCGATCTAAAATAATGGAATCGAACTTCCTCAAAAAAAGTCACCGCTCAGAATAAGACGAGCGCCTCCACGGAGCACAAGTTTAGTTGCACTCTTGACCTCTTCCGCGGAACGATACCAGGACCAAAGTAGACGATATTGCATCTCTATTTTATTTCCTCCGCAGTTTCTCTCCGTTTGACGAATACTTGGATTGTGAGACTTTTTTTCGTCCCACCAAGTGCTTCCGTGGATAACAAACACTACAGAATATTTCATACATGCGGTAGAGGGTGAGTACGAAATATAATAAAAAAGGCCAACGTGAAAGGCTCCTCGACAGCACAGTTACGTATTCACATACTGTAAAACATCTACGTGTTTTAAGTGGGTTACTAGCGCTTTCTCAGTTACATTTTGTTCGACATCAACGCTAGCGCGTTAAAAAAGCCGGATAAAGTGCACGGGTAACTCCTTCAAACGGACCAACACCTGTGCACAAACCTGTGTCACAGTGAAATGTCCATTTTATAATTCTGAAACGAAACTTTGAATTTGAGTTGTGAAATAATGAGGATATTTCTGGCTTTGAGCTGTTGGGTATGATGGAGTCATGTGAGACCTACAGAATTGGTGATCTTGTATGTATGATTGAGGATTCTAGTCGCAATGCTGGAGGGAAGTTGAAGCGTAGAATTGAATTATTCGGGAAAAGGGATGGGGTGAGACGACTGCGGCGGAGATGGTGTCTGGACGTTCGGACGATTTTGGCTGGGGGAAGCATTTCATCGGGCGCTCGTTATTCGAGTGAAACTGGGGGATTCTAGCGCTGAGGCACTTTGGTGATTACGTGGAAATTACACCAACATTTTTCTTTCGGTGGAATCCTTCTGAATATTTGTAATTCACCGAAAAAATAGTAATTTCAATTTGAGATTAAGAAGTCAAATTGAGGCGCAGGGAGGCGGGGGGAGCAACACGATGATTTCGAATTCGTTTTCCGTCCGGTTTTATCAATTCTGGATTTAGCCATTGCTTAACGCAGCTTCTGTCTTAAGCAGGAATCGGCGTAAATCATTAGTTTCAGTAATATTTGGGTTTAAATTTGAAATTCATCAAGTAATTGATAATTTAAATTTTCAATGGACTATGAATTAAATAATTTAAATATGAGATTGTAAATTGACTATTAGGCAAATATTTCCAAAGTTCTTGAAGGGGATTGTTGATTAGCCAAATAATCGTCAATCCTCCGAACTCAATTATCTCTCTATATTGTAAAAATCCAAATCGACTTTTGGTGATGAAAATTTGGTACTCAAAATTAAGACTCCACAATTAAGAGTCACGAGGGTCAAAGTAAGGGTCATAAGGGTCAGAATAAGGCCACAAGGGTCGAAACAACGGTCTCAAAGGTCAGATTAAGGGTCATGAACCCTCTAATTGATTGATCAAATAATTAGAAATCTGAATATTTAATTGGTGATTAATTTAATAATTTAAAATACATAGGACATCATTTTCAATAAAACGACTTCAATGCTCTCATTCGGAACTGAAAAGTTGATGGACGATAAAATCCCCTCTCCATTAATAAATTTATAAACTAGAAACTTCTTTTTAAAGTCTATCAGCTTTTGTTCTCAGTGCTGTTTTCTCCATTTTGAGAAAGATTTCATCGACTTCCCCAAACAATCGAGCTGTCACTCGACCGCCCTCTAGTTGCTGAGTCTAGCAGCCCTACAGAAACCCTGGGCGGCGTTGCCCACAAACTCTGGGCGGAATTAGCCACAAACGCGGAGGCTGATAAAATAGCCAATAATAACTGATGAAGCTATTTTTCTGCTATCGAAAAGGTCGCAATGGACGTGGAAATGTATAACGAACATATATTTCGCACTCCATTCAATTATAGATCAACTGAAGATTTGAAAAATCTTAAATACTAGGGTCGAAATATTTTGAGAATTCGGTAGGAAATGATTTGGATTTTTTTTACGATGTTTCCGCGGGAGAAAATTGCAAATTTATGCTGAAGGTACTTGTTGTCATCGAATATTTGGATAATAAAAGAAGAAAAAAATTTTTCTTAGCCAACCCTGGGAAATACGGGCGGTTTTTTTGGGGATATATCTTAAGAAATTGCAAGAGATGCTGGTTGAAGTATTATATTTAATACTCACCAGCTCTTAGCGTGACCCACGACTCACGACGAGGACGTGGCAGGTGAAGACTCCCAAAAAAACCTAAAAATATATTATAGGTTAAGTTAGGTGATCAATATTTTACGACGAATTTATCATGTTAAATTTTCTGACATTTTCGAGCTTAACTTAATACCGATTTTGTCGCAGTGATATTTCCTCCGTTAATTGGATTTCAATTTCATGTCGCTGATTGCAATTCCCGATATTTGTACTCTGGGACATTGTAACAAATCCGTCGCGATCAATTTCTTGATGTGCGGAGAAGTAATGATTATCTCAGCATCGAGAGAATTATTCCCTCCATGTAGAACAAATTTGCCAAATCACAACGCTATCCTCGAGGTACTTCGTCAGTCACTTATAAATGATGGAAATTTTGACAGGAGGGAGGGACCCAAAATTTGTTTCGCATGCTGTTGAGCCCATTCAATTTTTCTCTTGCGATTGTTTTTACTAGATTGCTTGGGCATCAATTTCAATTTTTTTTTCACTCGGATTCTGTAATGCAAAATAAAACAAAATCCAGCGGAAAAAACTGGGAAAAATTGTGCCCAATAATTCTGATTAAAAAAATCGCAAGACAAACGTACGACCAGAAATTCAAAATATACAATTTTTTTCCTGTCAAATATGCAATAAAATCACCGCAAAAACAAGCAGAATTTTTCAATAGAATTCCAATAGAATTTTCTAGCGAATTCGCTAGATTTTCAATTGAATTTTTTCATGCGTGCTGTCACTTTCCTAAAAATTACTACCCGACTGTTCATGAAATTCCCAATTTAGATATTCGGAGTCATTACAATAACACCCCGGTCTAAATCGAGAAATGAAAAATATTATGGATATTGTGGAAAGCCAAATACGCCATCACCAATGTTCAGTGTACCCATAAATATAAAATTTTATGTTTCAGAAAACCCGGCTAATTACGATGACCAATAATTCAACATGACCCGAATAAGCGCCGAAGAGCTCCTCGAAATCATCCCCTGAAGTGGCTGAAAAACTTCGCTAGGAAAAAACCTCCCCTATCCATAAATTAAATTTGATGATCAATTCCTCCGCATATATTGATCCCACGAAAATGGCTATTTTCACTTCTATGCACTGTCACGTGTGTCTGTAGGGCAAATGCATTGTCACGGAGTCAGACCGATCGATATAGGTAGGAAAAACGAGTCTCTCCAGCTGAATCTGCCTCACCTATATTTTTCGGACCCTCTGATACCCTCAAAACCCCCCACTAACTGCATCATTGTACCGAATTTTAATGTTATCCATGCGAGAAATGAGTGTTTAATTCTCAACAATGCGAAAAAAAATCCCCTCAATTATTGTCCCCGTTAATGATTCATAAAATTAATGTAAAACTTGAAAATTGTAACGCAATAAGGAAAATGCAATAAAACCGTAAAGATAACAGAACCTCTGGACATTCCAATGCAGTTTCTATTTATGATCACATTTTTGGGTTAAATGGCTGCTCTCGTTATCCAGAGGCCCAAGTATTTCCGCCTTCTTCCCTCTGTACCCGTTTAATATTACCATTTCCATTATACAACTGAGAATCTCTTTCCGGCAGGGAGTCTTCACTATAATAACATTTTCATCCTTTCAACATTGGCGAATCGCAACTACTCAGGCTAAGTAATAATAAAATTGTCGGCAATTCTCATTCGATTCATTTGTTAACGGGAATTGAATTAACTTTTCAACATTTATTTCTATTTTTGAATAGCACTGTTTAACAGTTTCCGGCAATTGGACAATTAGATGTTTTATATCGACGACCTAATTATAGCCGGGCACGTCCTTGCTGTTTCACAGAGGCTGCGCTTTCGGTGGCCATTTATTGACCTCGATGATACGCAATTATTCACCGAGTTGAGGTTCACGTATCTTGGGGTATTTCCGGAACAAGGCGGTATCTACAGTGTTGGGGGTTTCCAACTTATGGTTGAACGATACGTGCGTATGAATTCATAGCTAAGGTTCTGGGGATACACTGGGGTTACTCATCACCCCATCGCATTTTCTGTCGATTATTATTTCGTTTTAGCAAGCGGAATTTACGGTTGGCTGAACGTACACCCAGAAAATGGTTCTTTTGAATCAAATAAAAAATTTTATCTCAAATTTTCAGGTTATTTCAAGTCTATTTTTGGTACAAATGAATAAATTTATTTACTTGATTCAACAATAGGATTTAAGGATATTGAACAAACAATTAATTTATTTCAAATAATAGATTTTTCATCACATTGTCCGTAAAATGTAGTTTTGGGCATTCTCAAATGACGGCCAATTTCGCGAGAAATCGCGAAGTTCACACTTCGCGTTAAATCGCGAAGTTTATACCTAGCGTTAAATCGCGGTGTTAACATCATTGTTGGAAGTGTTCGTTAAGTGGGAACTGAAATTTTTTTCACACTTTTTGACACTTTGTCTCCGTCAAACGCCGTTCGATAAACCGCGATTTAACCAAGCGAAGTGAAATTAAAATCCAGTGAATATTCACTGCAATGTTCAAGCCAAGAATTCTGAATCAAGACAGGAATCGATTCTTATAATGGAGAAGAATAGTTGAATGGTAAATTGACACTGGCGAATGAATATATCATCGTTGGGAATCTGTTGTAGAGTGAAAATTCAATTGACTTTGGCGATCAAGTCGAATATCACCCTAGTCTGGAAATTCGAGTGCTCTTTGACATTTGTAATTCTATTAAATGACAATTCAAGTCTACATTTAACTCAAAGAGCGGCTCGTTACCTATTCAAAACCCGATGTATTCTCAGATCGAGAACATTTATTCTGCCATGAGAATAGAAATTAACTCGCCGATTAGTGATATCTAAAATACACCTGCACGGTTATAAATTACCTTCATAAAAATCTACATATTTTTCAAATTTCAATAGCAACGATATCTTAAATTTCAGGCGATAAAATCGACACATTGCACTTCTAAAAATGAGAAGAAGACTTGAATTTTTAATAGACAATTTCCTTTTTCGGTATGACAATAAAATTTAACCACCAAGAATACTCTTCGGCTCAGGCTGCAAATTCATATTTATCAGCAACTGCTACATTCACCCCGCGCTAATATAAAAATTCTCAAAAAATTAGATTTTCTAGTTCAATCCTTTCATTAAGTGTTGGCATTGTCCGTTTTTTTCTCCGGAAATTTGTTTAGCTAAAAAAAGAAAGTTCGTACGGATAGACAAGCGGCGCCGCGGCGCCCACTGCGAGTGCGTTCCTGTCGACCGCTGGAGCGACAGTGTTGCTACATTCACTGCCACACTTGAAATGCGCGCATAGCGGTAAGCGCCGGGATGGCAACAACGCGCGCGGTTTAACCCGGCGGCGGGGCGCTAACCGTGCGACAGATGAAGGCTGGCGGCTGACCGCGAGTGATCGACGATTAAGTTTGTGGAAACAAAAATTAAAGTCAATTCATCAAAAATCCGGGGAAGGGGAATATTTAAATCATTTTATGACTGTACCGTCACATACTGCCATTGTAAAAAATTGAAACTTGATTTTTTCTCCTTCCCACTTTCAATTTTTACCGCGATCTCTCCTCACGAATCACAATCGCGAACGAATCTGGCGGCTGATTTAAAAATTCCTTGCAATTAAATATTGGATGGTATCATTAATTATTAACGTTTATTCCCCGTCGGTACTTTTCCTCTCCATTAAACTCCCAACAGCATCATGAACAATTCCATCCTCACCCCGACTGAATCCCCAATTATCACCGAAAATCCCAAAAACCATCAACAATAGTGGAGATTGAGAGATCAACGTCCCTCCATAAATATCATTTCCGACATCCCCAGAATGTAGAAAAATAACGTTGACGTACGAAAAACGATCCGCGTCTTTAATCTCCATTTAACGTAGCCCGAGGTTTCCCCAAAGATAGATAAGAAAAAATTGAACTCGGTCTCGGTGTGATAGCTATATACAGTGCCAGATCAATAACACATATAGAAGGATTCTCGCAGTTGTACCATAAAAAAATAAAGAGATAAAGCAAACGAAATGCCCCTATGCGGTTTCATATACATTGTTTATATCAAACAGCCTCTCCATTAAATCGTTTACGATGAAAATGTACCCAACGATTCTGCGAATTTTTCCAGTTTTATGCGCCTTTGCTTATAATACACTTTTATATTTTGGATAACGAGTTTCATACATTTAATTGTCCACATTTTTTACGTGTTACAGCGAAAAAAGTCGCGATTCGAGTGCACGAAGAGAAAAGTTGGATGCAAATTACCTAGAAAATCGCGGCAAATGTTACTGTACAATAAGTACACCCAGAAAAATGGTGCGTTTGAATCACATAAAAATATTTATTTGAAAATTTTACTTATTTTTAACCCTAGATTGGTCGCCCTATAGGGGAAACCCGCGGCGCGTCGCTTTTCTTTAATTACAATTGGCTGGCTCATCGGAAAAATTAAAAACAATTTGACTTCTAATAAAATTCCTAAAGAAAAAGTATTTCGGACCGATGAATTATTTTTTCCCATGTTAAATTGAATTGCCCATGAGGCGACGTTGCCGGAAACTCGCTAGACGCGCACGGGCAGTGCAGAGTGAATTCGGCAACGCTGAAGCCGAAATAACGCGGCGGCGAATGCCCGCGGAGGTGACCAATGTCGCGGCGTCGGGTTTGGTGACCAGACTACTGTTAACATAATACATCTGTTGCCGATTCTTTGCTCGCGTTTCGCGGAAAAACTACTTGAAGAATTTCAATTGCATTTTTTATTTTGAATAGTTTAGGGTCCCTAGAAGTCTCTAGGCTATAATTCCTTGGGCTGCGTTGGATTCTTCAGCTTGCAATGTAGAAACTTCTCGGAAATTCTGGAACTTTCTGGAGAAATCTAGAATATTCTCGAGTTTTTGAAAACATTTTCGAGTTACCAGGGAAATAGGAGGAGATTCACAAGTTTTTTCAAAGAAAAAATTCATTTGATTCAAATAAAGATTCATTAATAATAAAATAACATTTATTTAACATAAAATAAACTTGGAATAAATTTTTTTGTTTAATTAAAAAAAAAATTCATTTGCTACTATTTAAATTAACTTATTTATTTGATTGGAATAAATGATTTTTCTGCCTGTGAATTTAGTTCTCAGGCTCTAGTCCTAATTTCGAGGAACCGATATACTTCTTGGAAATTTTTATCAAGTGAAAGTTTCACTGAAATTTCAATGAATTGTGTCACCCTGATGAATCAAACCCAGAGTCAACTCTGGGTTTGATCTATCAGGGCATTGAAAAGTCAATTCGAATAATTGAAATAGCTACAAAATCAAAACAATGTACATTCATTGACGCCAATAAGTAGAAAACCGTAAAATCCAGCATGTAAAATTAGTCTGCGTTGTCAATCCGGAGATGTGCAAAACAACCGAATTTCCCCCTTTCATTGAGTTTTAGCGCCACTAGTCCATTAACGTGGGTGACGATAAGAGGAAACAAAGGGGGCATTGATCAGTTGTAATTCGTTTAGTTCGTATCGAGCGTGACCAAACTGTTATTCTGCATTCAGATACACAACAGATTGGGAAAGGACTGTATAGAGACGACGGACACCGGGCATCAAACATACGGAGTAACGAATTTTCTCGGGAACAAAAGCCCGCCTGTGCACGTGCAGTTGGATCTCATTTATTTCGTTGGAAACATTTCGGACAACAGTGGATTGTGTTAGAGCTATCTGTTATCCCATTCTCTCGAAATATCGAGGGATAAATACTGAATCTGTCGTTTTTGAAATAACAGTGAGATGGCGGAATCCGTGGGATCAGCGGTGGCGGGGGGGAGAGGGGGGGAGTCTGTAAATTCTGAGGAATGTACGAGGGTTGTTTCGGCTTTGAAGGGAGGATCAGGGAAAATGTCGTGGATGAATCAATTATTTGGGTCTAGGGGTCAACGTTTAGGGGATTGAGTGGTGCTCGGAGACAATATCATAGAATTTGTTTTCATTGGGGAGATACTTTTCATGGACAGAGTGTTCTCATCATTTTTTGTGCAATCACCGGGGAGATTTATGTAGAGGACATGATTTTTGGTACAACAAGGGAAATGGTTTGTTTGGATTGAATAAATGGGTTATTCGAATCGCTCGTAATAAAGCTGTTATGCAAACATGAGTTTGATTTTTATTTGCTCTTTTATGCGCGTCGAATAGTTTTGTGAAAATATAGGAATGTTTTAGTGAGATACAGATTTTATTAATTAGAAGTGGAATCATTGTTTGGACGGGGAGATGGAACGAATTTATTGACAGGTAATAATTCTTCATTTGATTGTAATAGAGATTTTTTTTGGAGTCGATGTAAACACGAAATTCCCGTAATTCACACTGAGAAATAAATTGTTTTGCCAAATATCCATTT